GCCTGAGACTGCATTTTGTTCCTTCTCTTTGTCATTTTCTACAGCACTGTTTTCTGACCTTTGGTGTAGAGCTTAGAGTTCTTACCTTAGCACCAGGTCCGGATCTACCAAGTTCAAACTCGTCCAAGTGGCTGTGGCTGGGTCTGGCTGCTGTGCTCCACTTCGTCCTGTTACAGCCCTTGGAGGTGAACCCTCTGTGCATGCTGGCAGGATGTTCTTTGAATCAGCTGGGTGGGTCTTGCCTCTCGCCTCTTTGCAGGGAGTTCTGCTATAGGCTCCACGCTGGGCCTGGGTTCTGGGTTGAATGAGGGTCCGGCGGGCCCCGGGTCAGCTTCTGGCACTAGTCTCTGAAGGTGCCGTGCGGTTGCTGCCACGGGTTTCTCTTTCAGAAGAAGGTTGACAGTAAGCACAGTCTGAGAAATCAGGGAGAAGCTGGAACCCAGGGGAATGGGAAACAGCCCAAAATGAAATTCCAGGATTTGGGGTTCAGACTAGGTAGGAGGGACCAGGCAGGACCGCATCTGCCAGCCAACAGATCTTAGCTTCTTAAAATAGTGACAAACAGAGTGGACAATATGTATTGAGTGATTGTTATGCATGGGCCCAGGGCCAAGCACACTACCTATCTTATCCCATTTAATCTTCACACCACACCATGAAGTATATCTAACATAAAATCCAAATTATACAGTTCCCACATCTGCCCCAAATTATAGGGGCAGATGTGGGAACTGAGCCCTTGCCCTGGGTGGCTCCATAGACCGAGCTCTGCAACCCCCTGTCTCCATGGCAACGCCTCCCTGCCCCTGTCCATTTCCAGATTATTTCGGAGCGCACCAAGCCCAGGATGCATGAGTTCCAGTCCGAGGTGTTCATGATCATCGGCGGCTGCACCAAGGACGAACGATTTGTGGCGGAGGTAACCTGCCTGGACCCCCTGCGGCGCAGCCGCCTGGAGGTGGCCAAGCTCCCACTGACCGAGCATGAGGTGGACAGTGAGAATAAGAAGTGGGTGGAGTTTGCATGCGTGACATTAAAAAATGAGGTCTACATCTCAGGTAAGCAGGAGTCGCGGGAAGGCCAAGCGAGTCCCCTGTGTGGCCCTGCAGGGTTTCCCGAGAGCCAGGCAACCCGCCTCCCAGAGCGGAACGCCTGTGAGTTGGCAGTGACTCCGGTGGGGCTCAGGTGGTCTGAGCCTACCTGGAAGGGCACACGATTAGTAAGCACTGAGGCGTTGCGTCAGGGGAGCCGGTGTGGGAAAGAAGGAAAGAAACGCTAGGGTTTGCCTGGGGTCTGCTCTAACCCTGGGGCACTAGCGGGGAGCAGAGTAGTGGAGAAGAGGATGAACAGACGCCCCCAACTGGCCTCTTCCCAGGGTATTCATTAATTCATTCATTCATATTCGGATTCACAGCACGCTGAACCAATAGGAAGACGCATAGTTTTCGTTGCTATATTGTTGCTTAATTGTTTCCAGCTTCTTATGCCTGGCTTCTCATCAGACCCAAATGTAGCGAACGGGCAAAACGGTGTCTTCCCAGCACCCCGCACTGTGCCTGACCCCAGAGTGAGCCTCCGTGGGGCTCCATGGGGCTCAGAAGGTGCGTCCTGAAGGGCACAGGCTCGGCGGTCCTCGCCAGAAGGCGAATCCATGAAAACCTTTCCTTGTTTGCTCTCACACCCGCTCACGAGGGAGGTATTTTTATGGTAGAACTTGGAGGCTCAGAGAGGGTCTAGAACACAGATCACACGCGGGTGTGCGTCGGGCAGAGCCTAATTCCCAGGCTCTGCCCTGGCCTGCAAAGCCGCCTGGCTCTTCCAGTACCCTGGGGCAGCAGGCAGCACCCTGGCACCTCTCCAGGAGGCCTTTCGCCAGAGGGAACTTGCTGCCTGTGTGGTCTTATAGAAGTATTTGTAATCCGGCTAGAAGAGTCAAGTAACAAGGCAGAAGCCAGGTGTGGTGCGTGCCTATAATCCCAGCACTCAGGAGGCTGAGGAAGGAGGATCGATGTGAGTTTGAGGCCAGCCTGGGCTACACAATGAGCTCAAGGCCAGCCTGAATTGTATAGTAAGACCCTGTCTCAAAAAGAATAAATAAATAAATGAAGTAAAAGTAAGACAGATGACTATAAAATAGGGTAATTTCTCTCTACCACTATAATTCTGTTCTAATTTTTATGAAATAGCTTTGTTTTAGGGTAACGTCAGATGCTATAGCCAATCCATACTCTCTGTGAATCAACACATTGTTACAGGGCAGGATCTGTCATAAAGGGTCCCTCTGCTCCAGGAAAGCATTCAGGGACCGAGGTCCTCCCATCTGGCAACACTACCACTTCCCATACATGGTCTTCATTCAAGGAAGAGAGAGAAAAACTGAGCGAGTTGAGGGGAAATCTCTGCTCATAAAAGCCTCCACTTTGAGGGGTGCAGTGGAGCACACCTGTAATCTCAGCACTGGAGAGGCTGAGGCAGGATTGCTGAGAGTTCAAGGCCAGCCTGAGCTACATAGTGAAACCCTGCCTCAAAAGCAAAACAGAACATCAGAAACCAAGCAAACAAATAGCCCTCAGCCTGGAGAGGCCGCACTGATCCTGCTCACAGACAGTGGCAGAAACCAACCACCTGCCTCTCTCCTCCCAGCATGCCTCTCTCCTCCCAGCATGCCTCTCTCCTCCCAGCATACCTCTCTCCTCCCAGCATACAGTGGGCGAGGATATGGGGTCTACCTGGGCACCAGGAGGGAAAACAGGTGATCATGACCGGTCTTCACCGCACACATGGCACATGGGACTCTACAACTCCTTCTCCCTCTTTTAAATTTATCACTCATTGTTTTAGTGATATAAGCATGATAGAAGCATACTCGCCACACGCAATTCTATCAACAGAAACCCAAACTTCAATTTCTGGTATAATTTGGATCCCGTTCTATACTGGCATAAGGGACAGACGCATGAGGTGTTGTGTGACGTGGTCAGAGTTTAACACCATCCCCCTCTACCAGCACAATTGCCTTTCTGTTTATCAGCTGTCAGTAGCCTGGAGAAGGGCTGGGCCACCTATATATATTTTTTCTTTTTTTAAAATCTTGAAACAAATAATGCAGAACCAGCCACTCTTAGGCCCATCTGCTTTATCCTCTTGTGCTGTTTGGAAAGGTTCTGAGAATTTTCACATAATGGCCAAACTGTCCTCCAGAAAGAGTGTACCAATCTACAGTTCTACTGGGGATGAATGACCGCAACACTATTAGTTGTTTACATTTTTAAAAATTATTTCCTCCTAGTTCTGTGCGTGTGCACTGTGCGTGATGCCGCGTTCCTCACAGAGAACTGCCGCAGGCACAGAGCACACCTGGATTCCTTTCCTCGTTCCCTTCCTGTCCCTTCTCTCCCCTTCGTCCACTTAAGGAACGTAGCCACTGTGTACCTCAAACATGCACGGAATGGGAAGGGACTGTTTATATTTTTAGTAGGCTAACCATTTGCATTTGCATACTAAATCGTTAGTGAGGCTGACCACAGTCTTAGACAATAATTAGGTAATTGTATTTTTTTTTTTTATGACCTATCCTTTGGCTATTTCTTTGGTTCTTGTTTGTTTGCTTCTCACTGGCTTTTTAGAACTTTTATTTTATATCCTTTGCTTTTTATGTTGCAAATCCTTTCTCCCAGATTTTGGTTGTATTTTAACCTTGACTTATATTTTATAGGCTTTTTCTTCCCTACATGATTTGGTGTTTCATGTCATGCTTTAAAAATCCCTCTCCAGGGCCGGCCAAATAGCTCAGCAGATTAAAGGGCCTACAAGATGGCGCAGAGGCCAGGTGTTCAATCCCCGGGCCTGCTGTGCTAGCCCCACCCCTGGGACACACTGAGATGGCAACTGAGATTGGATGTGGTGGTGGCGCATGCCTGTAATCCCAGTAATCCCAGCTTTTGGGAGGCTGTAAACAAGCGGATCACTAAGAGTCTGATCTAGTAGTGAGACCCTGTATACCCTGTAGACCCTTAAAATTAAAGAAAAAATCCCTTTCCTGGGCCTGGAGATAGCTCAGTAGAATAAGCATCTGCCTGGCAAGTGCAGGCTCATGAGTTCAATCCCTGGTACTGCAAATAAATAAATAAGCATAAAAATCCCTTTCCTTCCCATGGTCATTAAGGCCATAACTGGCCCATTGTCCAAAACCTTTTTTTTCCCCCTAAGTCTTTAGTTTTATTTAAATAACCTCCAGTGAGAACAAAACAGACCAATTACTTCCACTTCTTCATAATACCAATGAGCTAAGCCAGGGAGGGCAAGCACACCTGCAGCCAGCTGCCAGCCAGTGTGATGGGGGGATCTGAAGGGAGGTGGCCCCGGCCCTGGCCGCTGTGCTCTGCAGACGCAGGCGCGTCCATCGGCTGAGCTATCTGGCCGGCCCTGGAGCGAGGGTCTTGATGGTCTTGCCAACGGACACGATCAGGCCCGCAGCCTCAGATGCTGCTGTCGGGGCACTGATCCGCACCGTAGCTGGCTCCCACATGAAAGCTTTGTCGGTAATGGCCTTGTTGTTTCTGTCTACCCCAAACCACATGCCACCCTGGGCATGCCAAGCCCGTAGTTGGTTCAGGATGTTTGTGGCATCAAAACCAGCAGTGTCGCGTAGCTGGTGTGCCCCAATCAGTAGCTGCTGTTTTCCTGGGACAGTCCTTGAGTAATCCTGAAGGTACTTAGAGCACGCCATCTCGATGGCTCCACCGCCAGCCACCACTGAGGCATTCTTGATGGCCCTCCTGACACTCATGATGGCCTCATGCAGAGACCGCTCTGTCTCTGCCTTGAACTGCTCAGCTCCGCCGCTGAAGATGAAGGTGCACATCTTGGCCTTGGGGCAGCCCATGAAGAAATTGTGCCTTTCACCTTCACTCTGGGTCTCTGAACAGCTGGGTGGCCACATCCCCAGTAGGGAGTTTGGCCAAAATAACTTTGGCTCCAGAATTATAGATCTTCTCTACCTTATGTAGAACGTGCCACTCAGCATCAGTGATGGCCTGATGATCCTCTACCACGTGGACTCTGATCTCAGCGTTGTCTTTCTCGGCTTTCAGCTTGAGTTCATTTAATACGGCAATCACGGGGTTATCTTACTTTTTAGGCTGCATTTCAAATCCAGCGTAAGAGAGTCTCCTTGTATGCATGAGCAGCGGCAGCCGAGACTCCTCCCGGGCTCCTCCATCCTGTACCTGCTTGACTCCAGTCATCTTAGGCTGCAGCGTACCACCGAGCATCATCACGGCAGCAAGCAGCATCTTAGCAAGGCAGGCTTTCTGCTGGGAGACCAGCCGGGAGCTCGGAGCCGCCACGGCACATGCTCCAGCAGCCTCCTCGGCTCCACTTTGTCTTGCTTCTTCACGGTCACAGCCATCTCCTTGACCTTGTTAATTGCTAACTGTGGAGCTGCGCAGAAAGCTCGGATGATGATCTGGGGTGCAAACCTTCCTCTGCGTAGGATTCACCTGCTTCAGAAGCTCTGCAGCCAGCAGTGTTACAGAGGAGGTGCCATCCCCAACCTCAGCGTCTTGGGGTTTGGCAATGTCCACTAAAGTTTTTGCTGCAAGATGGGCGACATCAAAAAGTTTCAAAATTGTGGTCCCACCATTAGAAATTATTGCTGTCTATAATAATTGTCCATGCCACGGGGACCTGGGGTGGTTCTTACAGCCTCGACAGTCACCTGGCAGGCACCGATGTTACTCCCAAGCCGAGGGACGCCTCGAGAGCTGTCAGTCCCCTCTTTCAACAGTATAACTGGTGTGGGCACCATGCTGGCACCTTCTTCAGGGGCTCGATACTCTGTTCTCCATGTTCTGGCCGCCCAGATAGCCCACAGTGCTCCTGTCCAATAACTTTCATAGCACCTACATTTGGATTTTTATTTTAAATGTAATGTGAAATAGGCACCTAACCCACTTTCTCTCCAAATAGCAGTTGTTTTAAGCAACATGTAGTTAATGCTTTCTGTGCATTTTCCTCCAATTCTGAACTCTTGATTGTTTCTAACTGGTCAATTTGTCAACCTTGTGCACGTATCATACTGTTTTTATTATAATAGCTTCTTAGCAGATTTTAATACTGGATACAGAAAGCCTACTTCTTCGTTCTTGGTTGTAAAAACTTTCTTAGATTTCCCCAAGAATGTAACACTTGTCTAGCATGTGGGAGGCCCTGGATTTGATCTCTCTCTCTCTCTCTCTCTCTCTCTCTCTCTCTCTCTCTCTTTCTCTCAAGGGAAACAGTTCTTTGCAAGGCAGCCCTCAAATCGGCTGTTTGGGAGCTGATTCCAGGAGCTGTGGCCTTGGACTGGGGCTGGGGCTCCATGTTCGAGCACTTGCCTAGTGTTTACGAGGTCCGAGGTCTCATCCCAGGGCTGCTGAATAAAGTAAAGTGAAATGAACACATAAGTAGGCATTTTCCAAATTTACCTCTCCCAGTGGGATTAGACTTCTCCTGCCGGCTCCCCTAAAGAAAGCCCGAAGGCCCCGTGTGCAGGTCACCTGGGGAGAGGGGCTATCTCCTCCCGGATGCCACTAACCTGGCACGTGATAAGCTTGCCCACCCCTCAGGCTTGAGTTTAGGTCCTGGAGGAAAATCACAGGGTTGATGGCTTTTTCTTTTTAAATAAAGGCGAGTATATTTCTTTGGCAGCTGATATTTTGTGGTAATTTTCAATGCCATTTAAATGGGATTAATATCACAGCTTTTAAATATATATTTTAAAATGTATTTATTTAGTACAGGGTCTCACTATGCACTTTGGACTCGTAGTGATCCTCCTGTCTCTGCCTCCCCAGCAGAAACAATGATCACAGTGTTTTTTGTTTTTTTTTTTTTTTTGCTCCGAATGCCCTCAGGGGTGGTTTGGCTGGCTGGGGTGTTGTGGGGATCGAACTACAGCAACCTGAGGCTGACAGCTTTGTGGAAGCAGCCACTTAAAACAACTGAGCTAAGGCCAGACCCCCATCACAGTGTTTTGAAGAGACAAAAACAAAGCAAAACAAAACAAAACAAAAAAACTCTGAGTCTCCATTGTAGTTTGGGAAAGCCAAACTGTCACACTACTTTTCTCCATCAGGCTAAGAGAAAGAGGGAGGGAAGAGAGTGAGAAGGAGAGAGAGAAAGAGAGAGAGAGCTTTGAGTCTGTGAAAATCCACTAAGACAGCCACACTCATGTTTTTAAGTAAAAATTCACAATTGTTAAGCTTGGAAGAAGCCTAGATGAATGGATAGAGAAAATGGGCACATATGTACAGGGTGGAATATTATTCATTCATGAAAAAGGATGAAATTGCATCATCTGCAGGAAAAATAGAACTAGGAACCATTGTGTTAAATGAAATAAGCCAAACTCATATTAAAAGATGCATGTTTCCTGTTACATAAGAAATCAAATCAGTAAGAGATGGCAGGAAGGTAGGAATGGACTTCTGGAGACAGCGGCAGGGATCAGCAGTGGGGCGGGTGGTAGGGAAAGGTGGACAACAGGACAGGAAAAGTCAAGGCATGTTAGACACACGGGCCAGTTTACCAAAACAAACCGCACCATTTTGTGTTGCTAACGTGTACTGAAACACCCACGCACACCTCCCTGCCTTTGAGGGAAATCCAGCGCTGGTTTCGTCCCTAGAGAAACGCCTACCTGGGCCACAGAATGTTGCCCACGACATTCTTGGCCCCTAGCGCACAGCTCTAAGTCTGCAAAGTGCAACCGGTCTTTGCTTCCAGAAGTTGGTGGTGCAGAATGCTGGTCGGAAAATGGAAACCCGAAGTATTTACTATACTTTATTAAATCACAGAGGAAAAAGCAGCTCCCCTCTGTTTTGGATTCTCTACCTAACTGCTGAATTCGGTTTTTCTTTTCTGTTTATTTCAAGAGCTTTCTTGAAGGAAATGCTGACCAATCTTTCTTTAAAAGATCTACTCGGAGGATGAGGCAGGAGGGTGGCAAACTTGAGGCCAGCGTGGGTGGCGCAACCAGACCCATCTCAAAATAAACAATAAAAAGGGCTGGGGATGCGCGTAGCTCAGCAGTACCCGGCTCCCAAGGGCTGGTCCCGGTACAGCAAAAACACAAGGCAGAACACCAAAAAGCAAAAAACAACGACTCATACTTAAAAAATTAATTTGAAAATAGAATTATTCTTATTTATGTTTTATATGATTCAAGAAAATTTGATGTCTTGGTGATTTCTGAGGCCTTTTTCTTTTCGTTATTGATGTGTTCGCTTTTTTTTGTTTAAATAACTACATGTAAGCGGCCCTCTGATTTGCTGATGGTCAAGGCCCTGCCAGGCTGCACCCTGGACTGTGCAGGCTCAGGCCCTGAGTGAGTCACCCTCTGCCCCCTGCCAGGCCAACGGTGCCCACCTCCCTGCTCCTGCCCTGGCCTCGCTCTAGAGCGGCCTCGGGTGGTGCTGTCCTCCCAGCCTGGCCCTCCTCTCCCTGCTGCTGCCTGGCCTCATCCCCCCTCAGACACACCCACTTTGGGGTTCCTGCCCCTCCCCAGAGGGTGGCACCTGCCTGGGGCCTCGCACTTCAGCATTTCTAGAAAATGGTGGCAACAGCCATCTTTCTGACACATCTGGAGGTCCCTTAAATGTTTTGTGTCTCACTCAGGTGGCAAAGAAACCCAGCACGATGTGTGGAAATACAATTCTTCGATCAACAAGTGGATTCAGATTGAGTATTTAAACATAGGCCGTTGGAGGCACAAGATGGCTGTGCTGGGCGGCAAGGTCTATGTGCTCGGAGGCTTTGATGGCATGCAAAGGATCAACAATGTGGAGACCTACGACCCCTTCCACAACTGCTGGTCGGAGGTGTGGCACACTGTGTCCTTGGGCGGCTTCCTGTGGTCCTCTGGGGGGGCACTTTATGGTCCTTTGGGGGGGCACTGTGCATCACGGCCAGCTGTCACTGCTGGTGGCCTGAGTTTCCTTCCCCAGGACCCATGGTTCTAGCTTTGCTGCTCGGGCCAGGCAGCAGTGTCCTCCCTGTGGCAGAGCCTGTATGGACACTGC